AATGAGAGAGAAAAGTGATAAAATTCTAGAGACTGCGGGAAATTCGCGTCATGTAACCCAGCAAACCCCTAGTTGGGCCTTACAGTCGGCAAGCTATGGGAGGTCAATAGGCCAAAGTGCCCGTTCCTTTTAGATAACTCATTCTTATAGCTAAGGAAGAAAAAAGATTAAGCCTACCGAACTGAAAAAAAATTAAATGTATATGTTTATTTTATTTATATATACAAGAAAGTACATTGGGAGTTGAGAACATTTAGAGAGTTTAAGAGTTGAAATTACAATCCTGTAAAGCCACTAGCACGCATAGCGTTTCGGGCAAAGTGTGGGTGTGAATGTATGTGTGAGTGAATGGAACAGCAAAGATGAGGATCATTAAAGTGAAAATAGTCTTACTAGGAGAGGCCAGCTCCCCCATTCCAGGCTGCTGGCCGGCAGCTGCCTAAAGCCGGAGTGTCAACCTCTGCCTGGCCGGCCTCCAGGTCTGGACTCGCCTAAATGTCCTCTCCTAGATGGCCTTCCAGGGTCAAGAATCGGCTCCTATTTGGAATGCAGGTCTGCGTTCAATCCCGACCGTCCAAGTGGTTGGGCACCATTCATCCCCCCATCCCCATGTCCCATCCCAAATCCTTATCCTGACTCATGATTGATAAAGATTAAGCCACCCAAGAGGTGGCACGGGCATGAATAGCCCATAAAAACCAATTGCTGTTAAGCAACCTGAAACCACAACTTTAGAACCACCAACAAAATTAGTCACACCAGATTTGTCAAAATGATCCAACGTCACTTAATTGACTGACAACCTAAATCGCTATTTCAGGAATTCCACAAAGCATTCGACTTACCTTATTCAAGATTCGAATTCTTTCCAGGCAAATCAGATGCTCCACTACAAAATGTCAGTACATGCAGACAGCCTCGGCACTTATTGCATGGTCGAGTTCGATCCCCAGTGGACCAAGCTATTGGGCTCTCTTCCTTCAGTCGCGCTGGCTTCATTAGCGCATTGTCCTATATACCTCACTGACACGCTCGTCTCGTATACGTAAAGGCCCACAGTAATTTCAAAATGTTTGCGCTTAACATGTTACAAGAAGCGATCAACGAGCACCTCCCCCGCACCGTTCACAGCCCACACTGACCTGGACCAACCGATTCTCATAGTTTAGAAGAAAGAAAAGAAAGTTCCAATCAAGTGTTTACAAAAAAGTGTGACGCGTTTATCGATACCAGATATCACAAGAACAGCAGGGAGATATTAATTATTTTATTTATTTATTTATATACAAGAAGGTACATTGGGGGTTAACAGAGAACATTGAAATTAAGTTGAATTTACATTCTTGTTAAGCCATTAGCACGCATTGCGTTCCGGGCAAAGAAATGCTATTTTCGGGCATTTTATATATTAATATCAACTATATACACAGGTTTACCCCCGAGATTTTACATTAGCCCTGTATTATGCCCAACTGTAAAGTATATACTAGCTGGTTGGTCAGTAAGGTATGGTGTTGCCTTAATAACCTTCCACAGGTTGATAGGCTTTGAACCCAACACCAAACTAAGCCAGAATAGCGCCATCTATTGATAGATAATGCAAAAATTCGCCGTAATCCAAGGGAATTAATTTTTTTCATAATTGCTTTAGTTATTTATTTGTATTTTAGCTTTCGTTGACAGCTAAGATAAATGTGGATTTAACTTTGTCTTGCAGTGAAATCGCTTTATTCTTATGCTTCTTATGCATTTTTATTTTCATCTGATTTGAAATAAAATACAGATGATCAAAATGAAAGCTCATATATGTCACAATTGCCAGAATAATCGCAAAAATCACTTGATTCAGTTATGCGTAAGTATCCACGTAGAAAAAGATTAAACTAAAACCCCGAACGTTTTCGCGTTTCCCGAAAACATCCAGAATTTTCGCGTCCTTTTTTCCTTACGTGGATTGGGCACCATACCTTTCATCCGTCTCATCCCATAGGCGCCTGTGCCAGGTAAGTCCACTTCGGGCTCACCATAGCCCGTGCTACTTGCCCCGCTCCTGTGCCAGGTAAGCTACGGGCTCACCATAGCCCGTGCTACTTGCCCCGCTCCTGTGCCAGGTAAGCTATGGGCTCACTATAGCCCATGCTACTTAGAACTTGTACCGAGTAGCTGAATCTATAACAACAACAACATCATCATCCCATATATGACTCCTGGTTCAACCTTAAGGAAGGGCGGACGTCTGGGACACTCCCTCCACCTGGGAGCCGCCGGATCACGTTCTATTTAGCGATTTTGGATTATGATTCTGCCGTTTGGCATTCCTATTTAATGGTCCGGATTGTTACGACGCCTGGCGCACATATCGCCTTAAGTCACAGGACGGTAGAGCGACGCTCTCACTTCTTGCAGGTCATTGGACGGTTGGTGATTGGACTACAACAACAAACACACAAATCCTTATGCAGATTCCTTCCAAGTGCTATATAGTCGTAATGGGTTGGCTTTTTTTTTTTCCTGATAATCCCCCCCCCCCCTCCTACGTGGATACTTACGCATGTCACAGTATATATACAGATGATTATACAGTATTAGTTTTTTGCGTAAACAATTTGAGGATAAAATTTCGACGATCAATGCACATTTGATAAATTGATTTCATATTAATGTTCTGGATTCCCCAGAAACATTCACGACCCATGGTACCATGATAAGTTTAAAAGTATCTCAACTAGAAGTTCTGAAAGACCTACTTGTAATTTGGTAAGCACCAGCTGGTACCTACAATCCAAGTTTTACGAGATGCCCACCCACAACTTATTGTCATAGATACAATCACCTTATTGTGATTTCACTGTGCATTAACAGTGTCATATGGTGTAGAACATCACTACCCACACCGAGTGTGAGGCTGGTAACTCGTAAAAATGGGAGTGTGAGTATTAGCAAGTGCCTGTCAGATTCCAAATAATTCTAGTACAATGTTTGGTTCAGTTACTTTTAAGCCCATTATGGTACAGTGGGTAGTGTGCGCTTCTGGGGAAGGTCCAGAAATGTGAGTTTAATCCCAACCAAAATCATAATATTTTCTGTTTTTTGCTGTGACTTTCCTTTGCATTCTGCCATTATATGGATGAGAAGCTTTGTTAGGCTTGTTGAGATCCCCTTAGAACAACAGTTGACCTTTCAAATGATGTAACCTACATCCGACAACTACTTGGGCTCAGATGAACCTGTGATGTATGGCACTTCATCTGGATTTGATGCTTTCATGAAGAAAGGAGCTTCATGTATCAATATGACTCATTGCTTTTTATATTGGCATGCACTGATGCCAAAGACTCTGCTAGCAATCCTGAAAGGAATTTTATCTATCATCGTAAAAACCACCTTCAGTCATGACCCCGAGTCCCAATATTTGCCAAGAAATGGGAGCACAATATTAAGTCCTCTACTACACAGTAGTTTGCTAGTTTTCAAAAAGGTCATGAAGTGCTTGATTGAACTTTGTGTAGAAACTCTAGTTAACAGGAGGGTGTTCATTCATAGCTTGGCTTAACTGTATTTTATTTTTGGCAAATCAATGGAGTAAATCACCATCATGAATGCAGCTAAAAAACTAAGAGCATTTTTGGTCATACCACCACAATGGAAGAAAAGATTGGAGGTGTACAACTATGGGAACTCCACACAACTGTAGGAAATGCTTCTGTAAGCTGAAGTAACAAATTATAAATCCTTATAAATTTCTCTTCAGGCTGATGTCTGTCGAGACCTTGAAACAATGCAGAGCTGTTTACAGGTTATTTCACCTCAGAGTACCTTAAAATGCAAAAGTGGTTTGGTAGTCTTTTTTTTTTTTTTTTTAAGTTTTTCTTCTGAAAGATGACCTCAGTGACTTGACAATACAAATGTGCCATGAATTTAATAGACATTGAGAATTCTGGAGTTTATTTTAAGCAAGTTTACTAAGGCAGCACTGATTCCATTTGCAACAACAGTACTTAACCGAGATAAGTCAGGATCTTCAGCGCTTGCTGATATCAACATGGAAACGCAAAATTCCCCAAATGTCAAATACATAAACATTGCTTTAACGAAGACCACTCGACAACTTGGTTTTAAATTTTTTCTAGTAAGTAGCCATTAACCTTTGCATGAAAATCAATAGCAAGTGGTTTCTAATATAATATTTTTAAGCATAATTATTCTGTAAGGTTTGTTGTAATCTTATTATTATTTCTGAATGAAGGATAATAAAATTTGAAGCACAACATAGAGATTCCCCACCAAATTCCAATACAGTTTTGGTAATTACTTTTAATTATTAATAATTACTAATTATTATCATTCCTTCTTTAGATGTATTAATATACGAAAGTGCTTAGGGAAATTCCTGTTTCAATTGTTCCTCCATGGTCTGACACTATCATATACCTGTATATATATAACTGCTCTTTATAATTTTTTTAGTCATTGGAAGATGTAAAATGGCATACCTTTGTGTGTATATCTGGAAAAGGGGTCAGCAACCTTCCAAGAGGTCTATGGACCTAAAACATTGTTAAGTACCACTAAACACATTTCTGACGACTAAATTTACTTTTCTTGTCTCTTCAAAAAGAGGTTCTCAGTTCCCAGTACTGTACTAGGTTTTCTTATTCCAAGATCGTCCAGCCACTTGAACTGGACGGTAGAGCGTCAGTCTCGGCTCTTGCAGGTCGGCGTTCAATCACCGACTTTCCAAGTGATTGGGCATCATTCCTTCCCACCCCTCTCCATCCAAAATCCTTATCCTCATCCCTTCCAAGTGCTATATAGTCATAATGGCTTGTATTTTCTTCTGATAATTACCTTACCTTATTCCAAGATCAAACACCCTCGGCATTGGTCTTTTGCTTCACTTGCTTTATGTAGTATTTTCACATACTAGCATCAACATATATCATAAAATAATAATACATCAATGATAACATGAATGTTTACACATGTATAAAAAAAAAACGTTTTTGGATACAGGGAATTTATTTAAGATACCATCTAATATTTAACAAAGTTATTGATTATATACATGTGTAGCTCAAAGCAATCTTTGGAAATTCTTAAAAGGCGGTAAAATCCAACATCCAAATAATTGATTAAATTAGAAATTCCATGAATTATAAAATATTAGAAGAGACTAGTAAAAAGCTACTTCCCATTTAAAACCAGCCAAAATATGTGCTACAGGATAAGCATACCACTGTGCATTAGTAAGGTACCCGAATACTTCCCAAAACAAACTACAGTACTGTTTTTATTGCAAAACTACTATTACCACTACTAAACTACCAATACTGGTACTATGAAATGCCTCGCTTTAGTAATTATTATAATTACTAAATGGGTATTATTTTAAAATACTGCACTCAAAATATCTTAGGTTTTTAATTATAAATTTAGAATGCATCAAAGGAAATGGTTTTGAACTAAACACGCATTAACATCAACTGTGTCAATATTAAGAAATACATTCGACTCTAGTGCACTTAATACACGACGGCCACAAAACCAAATAAAATATATCAATAATCTTAATAAAATTATGTTTGTATTCAGAATAGGTTGGAGTCTTATGTTACATTTAACACCTTCCAATTTCTTTAAATATAATCATATCTTTTTAATTATAGTTCAGTGCAAGCCAAGTTACTCCTTGCATAATTCTGCAAATTAGTCCCTAAAGTATGTAACAAAGCTGAATATGCAATACATAAAACTGCTATTCGGGTAGTATAAAGGTTGGCCTTAGTTGCCTATGGAAGCACAACTGAGAGGATTAAAGGTTACCCTCCCTCATCCTCTTTCACTGAGGATGCTTTTCTATAGCCACGTTAGTTCCTTCAGCTTCTAGTATTCTCTCCTTGTGGAAAATTACTGCGGCAAGTTAATGCAATGGGGAAAGTTTGGAATTTTTGTAACATTTTCATATAAAGGAAATAGAATTTGCTTTTTTTATATTTAGGAAGGAAAATATAGCATAAACTTTTAAAAACCAGCAAACATTTTCAATATGACTTTCATCCAATGAATTTGGTGTATAATTGAAGGGTTCAGGAATGATTCTCAATCTGACGAACCCACAACTGACATTGTTACGGACAAAGCATTTAAAGTATGTACAGTACTTAAAAATTAACAGGGAACATATCAGTCTAAAAGTTAACATTGAACTTCACCAAATCTTAACATAAATCTTTGATCCCAGTGGCTTACAACATTACTAAATTATCCTTACTGCCAGCAGTAGTACAATAAGTTTCCAAAACCCATGTTACCTTTTAAGATTGATTTTTGTTCTAATGTACATACTAATGCTGCAACACAAACTATAAATTAGAATATAAAACACTTCTATAGCATCATCTCAAATTAAGACCAGAACTAAGCAAGCAAACAATATCCATTTGCACACCAAATATCATCCGAGGCTCGCCATTACGTAAAGAATGTTCGTATTCGTGCACAACTAAAGATAAAGCGAGGAACAAAATTAAAATATATAAAACAATACCTATGTCTATTAGTATCACAGCCAGCTTGCAACACAATCATTCACATCTATTAAGAACATAATTATTGCTTTTGTGCACAGTTGAAATTTAATGTTCTCATTACTAGGTAAGGAAATACATAGTTATTCAAGATTCTTCAAATAATAAAAATGTCAAGTTTTTGTCCAAAACACATTCACAGAGTAACCACCGAAGTAGAAAGTGCAGGAAAACCTACCTATTCCTCTGCCATCATTACACACCGACACGCTTGTTGTCTCAATTTCAACAGCTAGGCTCTACCACGTTACAAGAGACACCAGAATTTTGTCATAACCAAGTAGACTCATAACTGTTTATGAGTCTACAATGAATAGACTCGTAGTCTACTCACTGATATTGGTCTACTATCTTGTTTCATAGAGTGAGCTATGACACCCTATGATACTGCGTAGCATAATGTACAAAAAATCACATGCATACAAGTATGCATGTTTCATGCCGAATTACCAGAACTGCACCATTGGCATGGTGCAGAGTCATGAATTGGACTCGTGGATAGAGGGCAAAAGCAGCTTGGCGTAATAGCTTGAGAATTTTTACTTTTCTCATCTCTTTTTTTTTTTATTTTTTTAGTCTGCACTTGATGAAATAGTTACATTAATTACTAATTTGTTTAGACCTAGCTTTACCAATATTAAGCAGAGTTGAGGAATAATAGGCATATTTAAGTTAGGTCAGTTTACCAAGTTTTTCAGTTCCAAAGAAAAGGGTGTATATTGTGTTTACTCAACTAGCTATATCAATCGACTTGCAAACTAAATAAAAATTAATAATCTAGTTTTTAAGAAAATTTGTCTTTTTGGGTAAATCTGGCATTAGGTACATTATATTTTTAATGTGTAATATATATAAATATATAGCATTATATTTTATTACTTGACTGCAAGCCGCTTTATGTTGGAAGGGAATGAGCTTCTACTCTTGGACCCTACTTCAGCTAACAATTTTGTGCGCTATTATGCATGCATGTTTCCATTTCTTAAAAGCTATATTTGTTCTGCAGAAGTGCTTTTCTCAGTACCTAACTAATGCATAGTACGTAGTCTTTCATGCATCATGTGCACTAGCGCTGAAAATAAAACACTGCTATTACTCTTTACTACTGTAATGATATGCACTGCAATTATTACAGATAATAGGAATAAATCTTGCATTAAAAAATAAATATGCATCTCAGACCTGAAGATTACAATTGGCAGCTATCACAAGATAAATTGAATTTAAACAAAATTAACTTCTAAATATACACAATTTTATCATATGAACATAAAAGACAAAATGAATGAAGAAAATGTACTTTTATGCACATGTTCACGGGTAAGGCTAATTTAGGTCATGCTGAATATAGACAGTCTTTGTATATAATTACACAAATATGCTCATATCATAATAAGTAATTATAATACTGCTAGTTAAAGTGCAGAAAAGAAATTGTCAAAACTAATTGGGTAATTTAGTGTGTGATCAAGCCAACATTGGTCCTTGAACCAGGTCATACAATGGAATGAGTCAACGCTCCACAACCTTTCATTTAAACATCGAGTTAGTCTGCATCATGATGGTCAGACTTCACAAGCATGCACTACTTGCACTGACACTTTGTAAAAATGTTGATGTGCAAGCAGAGGATCTAGCATCTATATCCTTACAACAGAATCCCTTTGCAAAGAAACTTTTGCCCAAAGCCAAAACCAGATCCACAATTGTTCAACTACCCTCAAAATTTGTCCTATTTGCTGCCAAATAGTAGGGGTTAGTACAAGTCTTGTTCACCTTATAAAGGGACTAGATATTTTCACCAACAATCACCTGCTTAATTAAACTTTGTGATGCACGTATTTTACAAATACCTGCTACCAATGTCCATCACAAACAGGTTAGTAGTTCACCTCTAACTGCAAGAGATTTTCTTATAAAACAAAAAATGGCTCAACATGAGACATAAGATTTATCCACACACTTGCACAAGGGGTACTCATCAACGCACACCAAATGTCTGTCAACTTTATATAACACAGATATTTAAAATATTTCTACTTTTAAATAACACACTCAGAGTTCCAAATACTCATGTTTCCCATTTTCTTGTCTGTTTCTGTACGCATTGTCACCATTACGTTCTGGAATGTCAGGCCCTGTGGTGGGATCAATTGGACTTCCTTCTTGATCCCAGTGAGGTGGTTCTGAAGCCGATCTGCGTTGAGATTCCGCTTCATGTAAACTCTGAATTTGTCTTAAGAGCAACTGAAGCTTGGAGGCATGATGTGGAGGTATAGAGGTATGCAGAGCACGTAATGATTCTTCCGCCTAAGAAGGAAAATTTTTGCTTAATTAACTACTTAAAGATACAGTATATACTTAATAACTAGAATGTCATTAGTATTATTTATATGGGAAGAAATATAACAAATGCACAAGGAAAAAACTAAAATTTTTCAATTTGCACTTTTAAGAAATTATATATAAAAACTAGCAGCTTTGCCATTTCTGCAAATAATGAATTATAAAAATATTTCATACAGCCTGTAGATTCAGGACTATCTACAGCTTTTATCTTACAACCATCACAGGCAAGTGACCAACTGATAAATATTTTCTCAATGTAGTAACAAAATTCATCTACCCTTTAGATAATACAGTGGAACCTTGATTAACGAATTTAATCCGTTCCGGCACCAAGCTCGTCGTGTGAAATGCTCTTCTTTCAAAACGAACTTCCCCATTTTAAATATTGGAAATAAAAATAATCAGTTCCACCACCGACAAACATCAATATGATATTCGACTTTGTAAATAATGGAGCAGCCTACCTGACATATACTGTACTGAACGAACCTTTATGACTATCAAATTTGTTTAATTTTTTTTTTAAGAAACATGGAGCAGCCTACCTGACATACACTGAACAAATCTTTGACATTCATTCTTTTTTCATGTTTCTTAAAAAAAAATTGGAACAAATTTGAAAAAAGGAAAAATGTCAAAGGTTCAATCAGTGTTTGTCAGGTAGGCTGACAAACACTGAAACACTAGGTTTGTCAGGTAGGGAGCCGGTCGGCCGAGCGGACAGCACGCTGGACTTGTGATCCTGTGGTCCTGGGTTCGATCCCAGGCGCCGGCGAGAAACAATGGGCAGAGTTTCTTTCACCCTATGCCCCCTGTTACCTAGCAGTAAAATTGGTACCTGGGTGTTAGTCAGCTGTCACCGGCTGCTTCTTGGGGGTGGAGGCCTGGTCGAGGACCGGGCCGCGGGGACACTAAAAGCCCCGAAATCATCTCAAGATAACCTCAAGATATAGGCTGCTCCATTATGACAATCTTTCTTTGTTTCAAATGTGTTCAATTTGTTTTGTATTTTTCATCTATAAATTAATAATGGAGCAGCCTACCTGGCACACACTGAATGAACCTTTATGACATTTTTCCTTTTATCATATTTGTTTAATTTTTTTTTTTTTAAAGAAACATGAAGCAGCCTACTTGACACACTGAACAAACCTTTTTGACATGTGTTCTTTTTCAAAATGTTTTCATTTATTTCTGTTTATTCTACAAAAAAATTCAATGCTTTGCAACATCACAGCAGTCACCCCTTTACATCCCAGCATCATTAGCATCTTTAAACAAAATAATTTATTTGCATCCGAGGAAGGGGTCCAAGAATGTGCGAGAGCAGTGGGAACGCACCACATGGTTTCCTCGTTAATCAAATGAGCGCTTGCCAATCGGGACAAATTGTCGGCGATCGGCGCGCTCGTTATTCAAAATGTTTGTAAATTGAGGCGTTCATCACTCGAGGTTCCACTGTAATTGCTATCTCAGTTAAGCTTTGCACACAGGAGGAAGAGGCAAATCATAAGGCATACGACACTGGCCCCATTGACCCTAGAAAAAGATTTACACATCTTACAGTGGTCACCCAGGTGCACTGGAAGAGAAATTGGAAAAACCGATGTTGGAGCTGGAAGCTACTTGCTTCTTTCTACCTGACCACTTGCGGAGGGTAAAAAAACTGCTAGTACCTAACAAATCTGTCCACTCGCCTTGCACTCAGTCATACAATTTTTGGATCACAAAAACTGTAATAAGTTTTGTACATCATGATACAGTATGTAAAAGTTAAACAAATATACTATAAGCCCATTAGTCGATTTACAAGTTTAAATTGTAAATTAGGAAAGAGCTTCCATTAAGTTGTAAAAATTTTCTCTGGTTGTAGACAAAACCAAAGTGATATAAAAACCAACAGTAAATATATGAAGAATATGCTAATTTCTTATTAGAATTGTATGAAAATGGAAAAACAGAAATCAGAGCAGGAAAAGACAATTTTTGAATTATTAAAATATACAAGAACACAGGCATACAAGAAACTCCGTAAGCCCTATTATGTCGCGAGGCAGCTTCCATTTATATCCATTCAAACTAATTCATACATTGTACATGTCTAACCTACACCTGAATCAATATGGTGATCTCACATCAACTATATTACCCAGTCACTTGTTTCATAAATCCACAACCCAAATTTCCAAACCAATATATTTACCCTGGTCTTTCCCAATTCTAAGCTTATCCAATTACAACACATCTATTGCATTGTGTTCCAAGTGTTAATATATTTAAAATGCTATTTATATGCCTTCATCTATCTGTATACAGTATTACAATCATGTAGTATATTTCGATCCCCAGTGAAGGGAGAAACAAATGAGCACTTTCTTTCACCCTGATGCCCCTATTCACCTAGCAGTAAATAGGTACCTGGGATTAAGCTGCTACATGGGAATGTGTAACAAAAAGGTACTAGATTCACGAAGCAGTTACGCAAGTACTTACGAACGTGTACATCTTTCCTCAATCTTTGACGGCTTTGGTTACATTTATTAAACATTTTACAAGTCTGAAAACGTCCCAGTCAACTGTTATTGTTATAAACAGCCTCCTGGTGCTTCGGAGCTCATTAACTGTTTAATAATTGCAAACAAAACCGCCAAAGATTGAGAGAAGACGTACAGGTTCGTAAGTGCTTGCGTAACTGCTTCATGAATCTGGCCCAAGGAGGCCTAGTCGAGGACCGGGCCACGGGGACGCTAAGCCCTGAAATCATCTCAAGATAACCTCAAGACAAGATGTTTCCCCCTCCCCCCCTTTTACCCAGTCTTTCTGGGCTGCAAACTAACTTTCTGTATTCAACAGTACAGTGACCAAAATTTAACTAAATAATTTAAATGGGGCCTAAGAAGAGCAAGACAAAGCTGAAGAAAAATATTAGACATTTTGTTTCTAAAGCTCCTAGAAATAAATTCCAGTACGGTATCCTTTTTTGAATGCTGCAATCTCGGTTACAAATAGATGTGTATAATATACGTACTGGAAAAGACAGTAACCTCGTTAAAACACAAGCAACCCTTAGGAAAGACGGCTTGTGAATCCCTTATTAATCTATGCTATCCAAGCTGCTTTTGGAATTATCGATTGATGCATTTTTCCTACAATAGATATTAAGCTAACTTGATGACCGAGCCAAGTGATATCTCTCTCTACTCGAAAATCTGCACATTTGCAACCCTTCATGATTCTTGTGTTTTTCTCAAATGTTATTAAATATGAAAGACAAGGGCTCACTAAGCTTGTCTTTACATTAAGAACCTTGGTAACACTTTGGCTCTAGGAACTTAATAGCATTAACCACTGCACTGCGCAAAGCGCCTTTAGGCGCTCAGAGAGTTGTGCTTTTTGTTTTTTAGTAACATTACTATTTGTGTTTTGAAATGGAAATAGTTGACTTTGGAAACATTTTGACATTAAATTTACCTGGCATTTGTAAAAATAACAAAAATATGTCCTTGACAATTGCAAAGACTTTTTGCCGAAAATAGGTGAGCACAAGGGTTAATATTTGTTTAGTAACTTCCTCCATGGTAACCACTAAACTAATAAACTTTATCTCTATCACCTACTTGGATTTGTTCAGTTGTAGGCACAATATCAAGGGAGTAAACAGACACGCTTATTAAAAATACCACCCATTTTTTTACCAACAGTTACCCGACTCGTCTAATTTTTCAATGGCAGAGTCTTCTTTCTCCCTTATCTTTGCTCGATAGAATCAGAAAAAAAAAGCTTTAGGAATTCTCCCTCCCTCCCCTGCTATACATGTATTTCAGAATTTCTTTTAACATACCTGCCAATAATATTTAGAACTTTCCCAAGTTAACACATTTCTCTGGATTATTAAGTGCTTCAACTAACCTTTCTAAGAAATCCTGCAGCCTCCTCAATAGATTTTCTCCATCTCTCAACTTCAGCAGCATGTAGAGCTTCCTGCTGTTGCAGTATTCGCACCCACTCCTCAAGAGGACCCCCATTAGCTCCAGACCTAAGGGATATCCATCATGTAGAATATATGCACATCAGTAAAAATGTATGTATCCCCACATATCTGTTTTGAGTGTACTGTATCTTGAATGTACACATATATGCAAATGTGTGTAAATCAACCACTCACCTAAACATACTAGGATCCAGATTTGGATATGGAGTGGAGCGGAGGAACATTTTTTCTTCCAGTGCCCAGAGTTTGTAATACAATAAAGCATTGAGGGTCAACAGAATTACTAAGGTTACCACCACCATTCTTACAGGACCTTCATTTGATGAATTGTTGTTGTCTGGAGTAACGGTTGGTAATGCTGAAAAGTGATAAGGCGTTAGTGCATCCTGAATACAACATGAGCCACTAAACAGTTACCAATTGTCATACTTGCTTAATTTTCCTGAAGTTTCCCGCCAAACATACACCAAAACTACGACGTTGCTACAACGTTCGAACAAGTTTTAACACCTAACCAGTTATAACCAATATAGCAAGTTGTAACAACATTCTAATACAGTACGTCATAAACAAGTTAAGCCAAGATGTAACAACTTTATTACAAGTTGTAACAAGCGGAAAAGAGAGAGAGTTTCGGTTTGTATTTCCAGGGTTTATATCAAAAGTTACATGACACTTCTGGGAGTCAAACTAGGATCTAGTAATGTTAGTGCCACATACTGCCCACTACACCATGACAAAGCTATTAGCATTAGGTTTGACATCTCCAGCCCTCTAGATAAAAGTTCTTGCTCTTGCATTATTGTAAACAAACTCTCAGGATTAGTTACAGGATTTCAGAAACATCAATTTTCACTCATCATTCAATGAATTAGGACTACATCAAAGTTTCACATCATTGGAGCATACATTCAATCTGTTGTCAAATAACATTAACAATCTACTTTGTGTCTGTAAAAATTTCTCCATTATCTTTTTGATAAAGGCTTCTTCTCAGAGAGATTATATCTTTTTAGTTCTTTAGAGCACAGAGCATCTCTAAGTTCCATTTGTCTTTAACAAACTATCTGCTTCATTATTTTTCTGTTTGCTATCCCTTCATCCACATTAACTCCATGAATGGTTAATTGTAACCTGTTTTAACATCTTCATAACTCTGCCTCATTCTTAGTCATAAGTAATGAGGAGTCATGAAATGGAATATGACCAGGTCAGTAATTTCTAATTAAATGAACCGATAACACCATGAACAATTTGTAAACCTATCATGAACCAAATTCGGGCACTATTCAAACGTCTTTGCTTGGCTGGACATTACAAATTAACCTTATTATCAGTGACAGGTTCACAATAACTTTCACATAGCCAAAGATACCAACCTAGCCTTGTTCTGACCAGGCTTAACATAACCAAGTACAAACCTATTCTATTTGTACAAATAGAAAATCTCTAGTTCTTATTCTCCAATCAATGCTTAAAAACATCCTTATATTCTAGCTTTTATCTGCACACATGCTAAATTAAGCTGCTCATTTCATCACACTGTTCTTCACTCATTAAAGAGCACATGTCTTGCTCTCTCACTCATCCTTGCAATCTTCAATCCTCTCTCCACTTCATTTTCAACAGCGCTCCATAAAGACCTACCATATCAAACTTCAGTCTCTTTTGCTTCAGTGTATTTCCCTTACCTTTCACACAGCCATACAAACTAATACAAAATAATACATTTAGTACAGCTTTAGTATACAGTATTTAGACTACAGGACACCATATAACAGACATATGTCACCATTATTAAAAAAAAATTATTTTAATTAACTTACTTAGTTTTCTGGCAGGGATTTGTGTGGCTTTGTGCATATCCTTAACTTTAACTTTAACTTTATCGGGATAAACTTGTGATGGGAGAAGTACATCTGGAGTTTCGCACTTGCTTCCAACACGTCGTCTTCTCCGTCGTGTTCTCTTCAGGTTGGAGCGATCAACTTCGGCTAGCAGTGCTGCATTGATGTCATTCAGCAGAGATTCAACGCCACTAAATGCATTCTTATCAATTACTCCTACAAACAGTGGTAAGGTTTTAGGATTTTCAAAATTAGTGCAATACAGTAGAGCTAAATCAAATAACTGGGATCACATGTATGTTTGGCAATAAGTGATCCTTATATGAATTTATAATTTTATAATACAGCTGTAGCCGAGCAGGCAAAAATCTAAAATGGTCAGGGTGAAGTTCATACTGATTTTCTGATTTAGGATACTGGATACTGTACTTGTCATTCCAATTAAAAGCCTGACTAACATATGGTGTAACTTTACTAATGATCTTTATTTTAACCAACAAGCCTCGTGTTAATTAACATTTATAATATAAAAACTAAAAGTTAAAAAGCTAGTAAATATACACAAGGAAGAGTGGCTGAATCACTCACAGGCTAAGCACTGTTAATAAACTTAGCAATGTACTTGCATTTTTATTTAGATTTTGATACTTATGTGAACAGCAGCAGCAGTAGTCAATGTGAATAATGTACCCAAAGTGGCAAGCTCCCACATACCAATGTTTGTAGATGTAAGCTGATGAGAAAGGACCAAAGAGGGATGAGGGAGGAGGAGGCAGAGGAGAAAGGGGGAAAAGACAAAAAAAAAAAAGGAGACTATGGAACAACAAGAGCTTGCACTGTACCAAACTCTTACACAAATAATGAACGCTAACATATAATTTAATGCAGAATGAACAGCTAAGTCACCAAAATCATAATGTGTAAAGTATGCAATAAATTTGTCTCAAAACATTCACAAAATTACCTTTCATGAAGCCCCATACATTCTTCTTGTATTTCACTTGAGACCAAACACTAATCCTGGTTTCAGTGCTTGACTCACGGGTCAAACACCAATGATTGGAAACAAAGAAAGAGTCAGCATATGGAATACCAGCATTGCAAGCTTCAGCATCAACTGTATAGATTTCTCCGGGTTTACTGAATGGGGACACAACCTGAAAAAGAAAACAGTTGAAAGATTAGGGATGTCAAGTTGCTTAAAAATCTAATAAAAAGATTACTTTGATTAAAAGTAACATAATAAAATTAATTATTTCATCAACTGAATTACAAAAAATATAAGCTTAGCATCCCCCTAAGGCCCTAGGGTTGAAATTGTTCAGAAATCAGAAACGTTTCCACGAGTGATGGTAGGAAAGCAGAAAATGTGTGGGGCACGTGGTGCAAATTTGAATACTTCATTGTGATAAAAGAGCAAGTGAAAAGGCTAGGACTGATCAAGGGGTTAAAAACACAGAAGACAGATACTGTATAGTAAGTGGATTGTGCACAAGACATCTACTACAATTAAAATCCTCATCAGAAGCAGAAATAACTATCACTGCCACACTTGTGTCTCACACACAAACCAGGAGGAATACCTAACAAACTTCAGAGATGCTGAACTGATCATCAAAGAAGAAGAAATCATTAAGAGAGCATCATGTCTGCAGGTCACCAAACACTACAACACCACCAAACACAATGACAGCAACTCCAGCACTACTGCTACTCTTGCTAAATTAATACTGCAGAAACATATACTGCACAGCTGTTGTATTGTAATGCATAATCCATGATATCTTGCCTTGACCAAACTGACCTTATCAAATCTCTCATTTGAGGACTATTAGAGGTCTCTGGAGACCACCACCATTTGACAACAACATTCTCCACAACCACTTTCCTTGTATAGACAGAGCCTAATGTATATTGAGTACACTTGCATGAAAGTAAGATGTGCAATGCTGACATACAGTAATGAAAGTGATCAAGTGTATTACACCAGTTATTTTCTTGTATATATTAAATAAAATGTTCCAGCAGATGTATTATCACAACACTAGCAAATTAGAAAATATATAAACAAACTGCAATTCAAATGCCTGAGCATAGTCAGTATATTATACTTTTTTTTTGTGTCCTCTTAATGTTAATTTTTTGTATAAAATCAGATATGTAACTGTATAACCTTGCATAATAAAGTGTACACCATAAAAAAAAGGGGGGTGGTAGGAGAAGCGAACACTCTTACGTATTCAGAGTTAAATGGCAAGTTTTTCCCTGAATGCTCTGTGTTCCCTTCTCTGAGGCTGTGGGTCCCTATAATTGCACCAGAGGAGGTACCCCCCTTTATAACTTTGAATGTATATTTCTAAGTACCTAGGACTTTACTAGTTAATGTAAACTATAAAAACTAATAACAAACCTTACCTGTGTCTCCGTGACATGAGAAACTTTGGGTCCAAAGCTATTAGGAGGAAGTGTCAGGGTGTACATAACCTGGCGAAGTTTTTGGTTGGTGTCTGGGTTACTCTGCCATGGACTTGCTACAACATCTGGAAAACATTTACACAGTATTAAAGCATCTCTGTTTGCATGTGTACAGTACTATATTTCTGAATATGAACAATGTGGCATTTCAATCCGATAGTGCTCAAGTTCGTTTTGAATGCCAAATTAAAATGTTGGTTAAATTTTACATACTGTATTTGTATGACATATCACATATGCTGTCATAAAAATGCAATTATTTTTATTCAGGTGTAAATACAAATTCAACCATGCATTTAAATTTTTACATGCATCCCGTAATAACTTTAGGCAACCCTGACCTCCATAAAAATGCCATACAGTATAATAATTCCCATTGTTGAAGGTACAGGAAACCTGTGCTTACCAATAAATGATTATGGGGAAAGGGGGGGGGGGGACTATCAGGAGATAGCAGCAAGCTGTTACAACTATATAGCACTAGGAAGGGATTAGGATAAGGATAAAGACGGAGAAAAGGAACAGTCGAGTAACCCCCCCCTCTCTCTCTCTCTCTCACCCTCTCTCAGCATTACTTATTTCATCATTTTTTTCTTCAAAGTGGGGATGGAATTGACTTCAACCTCCTCTTCCTACTTACCCTCCCAACTTCCTCCCTACCAATAGTTTTTGAGATATACGGGGTGTTGCATTTCCCTCAAAACAACCGAGTAAGAGCCAAATACCTGTAGTTATATACCAACCCCATGTTACATCTTACCTAACCAAAGACCTACAATGGCAATCTGTAAAATATTAGATAATCCTTGCCTGAGGTACTCCTGGCTGCGTAGAGATCCAACATGAACTTTGAGTTCGTAAACAGGTGTGTGAAAACCGTGTCCACTGGAAGAGAATAGACCGTGTTGATAATCTCTCGACCCTGATGGTGAGAACTCTGGTTGGGACATGCCACAGATTCTCCCGAGGGTAAACCTGAAACAAATATTTAGCTTTTAATATACATTATAATAAATCATATTCCTTTAATTAACATTTGCCATCACTTTTTCTGAACTATTTACTTTAATAAAGGCTTGAAATATTTATATCTTTATCTAGAGAAAAATGCTGCTCATGGTCGAGTCTTTAGTCTCGGACATCTTGCCTAATAAAAGTTTTTCCTAGCAAAATAGTGAAATAAAGACATCCTTAAAATATTATTAATAAAGACATTCTTAAAACAATATTAATAAATACATTCTCCCCACACTTATAAAAAAAAGTTCTACCTTGTATTTAATATAAATGTTTAAATTCTGCTCATGTCTCACTAATAAAGATATCCAACAAATGGAGTACCGAACTTTATTACCAAGTTCTTCCTTAACAACCACTTTAACCAAAGAGGTATTCCTAGGATCAGGTATTCCAAACAATACCTGATCAACCGGGCTGTGATTCATACGTCAGGCTGCGAGCAGCCGCATCCAAAAGTCTGGTTGACCAGACGACTAACCAGGAAGCCTGGGGCCAGATTCATGAAGCAGTTACGCAAGTACTTACGAACGTGCACATCTTTCCTCAATCTTTGATGGCTTTTGTTACATTTATTAAACAGTTTACAAGCATGAAAACTTGCCAATCAACTGTTCTTATTGTTATAAACAGCCTCCTGGTGCTTCGGAGCTCTTTAACTGTTTAATAATTGTAAACAAAGCCGCCAAAGATTGAGAAATGATATACAGGTTCGTAAGTGTTAGCGTAACTTCTTCGTGAATCTAGCCCCTAGTCGTTGACCGGGCCACTGGACCATTGATCCCCAAAAGTTACACTAGGTACACACAACGTAGGTAGGTAAACATAAAAAAAAAAAATCTTCTCTCATCCGAGTATTTATTCTCTATACTGATAACAAGGCAAAGTTTAATTGAGAGACCTAAAACAGTGTTTTGAGAGGATTAAATACATCCCCAGATGCACTGTACAAACCCAAATCAAAACATAGCCAAATAAACAAAATTAATTAGTTCTGAAATCTACAACTGCAGTTTTAGGATTACAGTACAAAGATGAAAACTGATTCTAAAGCTGGGGCAATACCTGCTAATTGTTCTTGAAATTCACTACAACTAGATTTATTTCAATTGCAGACAAAGGTGAATCTTTTTAAAATACAAATCCAGACTATCTGCTAATGCAAATTATCTGAAATACAGTACTATACCTACTGAACGGTATTATTAAATTAAAGTCTCCCATGCCTGCAGTAAATTTTGAGTTTTTCTACTCTGGCAGTCGGGCTCAGATATCTAAATGTATCATTCAACAAGTACATGTCAATGTATGAAAAAATAAATAACTTACAAGTAATTTTGCTGTCGGGTTCACTTTCTGTTGTATCAGACATGTCCGTTGGGATGACATCATTGGGCGGTGGGGAGGAGTTAATAGGCGAGCGATTCTGTGGACACTTTGTGGGTGATGCTGGAACTCTAGGCGGCTGAGTATTTTCTGTTCCCACCAACTCTGAAGTCTCCGAGTCACACCCACCATTCTTTGGTACTGGAGGAACTGCAGACTCGTCAATAGTATCTCTCGGACAATCATCCTGCCAACAAAATGAAGAAATACATTAGCTAGTAATACATAAAGAGAGGGGAGGGGGTTGCCTGATAATTTGATAAACATTTAAATAAATTAGGTACCTATCATTTATGAATATGGAATATTGACAATTATTTTAAGAGGTTCTGTGTTCTTGCAAAATTGCAATAGATAATAAACCTCTCTTTCAGGATATATTTAGGAGCAATGATTGTAGTTCTGAATGGATCATGAAACAAAGATGAAAGCGTGAAATAACCTTTTCTTTCTTTCTTCCTTCTATTACTCTCAATCTCTCTACACTACTTGCTAATGGTCCAGAAAGGACTGAAATGCCATCACTTCCCTTATTTTCAGTTGTACATAATCCACACAAAAGCTCGAGCCAACCCTTTGCTATTGCCACTCCCTTTGCCACTGTTGCTGTCTCATCCCTGACCTTCAGTTTTCATTGGATTTAGAGTAGCAACAGAGCTGCCACAACTTCCAGCTGGCCCTTCTCTTCCAATTATCTGGAATCCACTTTGGAAGATTAAGTTCTCTATTATATGCATTTGCTTCATCTCAGATATTGCAGTGATTTGAAGTTGCCTTTCTGACACACATTCTTGAAGTTGTGGTATTAGTGGCAGGAGTGTTGGGATTGGAGGTGGTGTTGGAGGAGGCAGTAGTGACATGTCTTACCAAACAGTGAAAAGGGCCAAATGAGGTCTAGCTCTTAATGCCTTACCTATTCTCCTTGTTGTATCTGTTGTATTAAAATTTAACTTTCCAGACACTCAAATTCTTTGTCAAATCTGATATTAAAGCTATGGATGAAGGTGGTTTCCACGACTTGTTCTTTCAGTGCATTCTACTAGTTAACTGCCTATACAGTCCATGACTATTTCCTTGCATTTCTTTGAATTTTTGCATTCCCAACATGCATCTAAGTTCTCTTGTCATACTTACTCTTAATTTAAAGAGACTGTCCTTGTCAACCTTGTCAATTCCCCTCAATATCTTATAATTTGTGATCATATCTGCTTCCATTCTTTTCTTAACCTATGCTCATACCTCTCGTGTAATTAATGTACAGTACTGTACTTTTTATGCACACTTTCCCCGATTATAAATTTACTACATTCATAAATAAAGCCTTTAAGTTATTGAATAGTTCTGGCACTAATCTTGCTGCAAATTTCTGTACTTTCAATTTTGAGTTCATGCTTCATAAGAAGAAGAAAATTTATTGATTTGATTTAAAAATGAGATGATTTCATGAAATACAGTATTTTACATATAACTAACCCTTAAAACTATAACTAATATTTTATTTATATTATTTTTATTTATTTATATATATATATATATATATATATATATATATATATATATATATATATATATATATATATATATATATATATATATATATATATATATATATATATATATATATATGTCGTACCTAGTAGCCAGAACACACTTCTCAGCCTACTATGCAAGGCCCGATTTGCCTAATAAGCCAAGTTTTCCTGAATTAATATTTGTTCTCTAATTTTTTTCTTATGAAATGATAAAGCTACCCATTTCATTATGTATGAGGTCAATTTTTTTTTATTGGAGTTAGAATTAACGTAGATATATGATCGAACCTAACCAACCCTACCTAACCTAACCTAACCTATCTTTATAGGTTAGGTTAGGTACCCGAAAAAGTTAGGTTAGGTTAGGTTAGGTTAGGTAGGTTAGGTAGAGGAAAAACAATTAACTCATGAAAACTTGGCTTATTTGGCAAATCGGGCCTTGCATAGTAGGCTGAGAAGTGCGTTCTGGCTACTAGGTACGACATATATATATATATATATATATATATATATATATATATATATGTCGTACCTAGTAGCCAGAACGCACTTCTCAGCCTACTATGCAAGGCCCGATTTGCCAAATAAGCCAAGTTTTCATGAGTTAATTGTTTTTCCTCTACCTAACCTACCTAACCTAACCTAACCTAACTTTTTCGGGTACCTAACCTAACCTAACCTATAAAGATAGGTTACGTTAGGTTAGGTAGGGTTGGTTAGGTTCGATCATATATCTACGTTAATTCTAACTCCAATAAAAAAAAAATTGACCTCATACATAATGAAATGGGTAGCTTTATCATTTCATAAGAAAAAAATTAGAGAACAAATATTAATTCAGGAAAACTTGGCTTATTAGGCAAATCGGGCCTTGAATAGTAGGCTGAGAAGTGAGTTCTGGCTACTAGGTACGACATATATATATATATATATATATATATATATATATAATGTCGTACCTAGTAGCCAGAACTCACTTCTCAGCCTACTATTCAAGGCCCGATTTGCCTAATAAGCCAAGTTTTCCTGAATTAATATATTTACTATAATTTTTTTCTTATGAAATGATAAAGCAACCCTTTTCTCTATGTATGAGGTCAATTTTTTTTATTGGAGTTAAAATTAACGTAGATATATGACCGAACCTAACCAACCCTACCTAACCTAACCTATATTTATAGGTAAGGTTAGGTTAGGTAGCCAAAAAAAGCTAGGTTAGGTTAGGTAGACGAAAAAACATTAATTCATGAAAACTTGGCTTATTAGGCAAATCGGGCCTTGAATAGTAGGCTGAGAAGTGCGTTCTGGCTATTAGGTACGACATATATATAATATATATATATTATATATATATATATATATATATATATATATATATATATATATATATATATATATATATATATATATATATATATATATATATATATATATAATATATAATATATATATAAGACTGCTAGGTCCTATATCAACTGGCCCCCAGAAATATACACACCTTTGTATAACTGGTATGCCACTATTTAGGCTGGCAAAGATGCAACTTTGTAGGTTGACAACATGGAATCCAAAGCTTTCACATTCAAAATTAAGCAAATTTCTTAAGCTCTCTACTAATAATAAACAGCAAAAAAGTTTGGATTGCCAGCAAGGCAGGTCAAATACGTTAAGTGTAGTTATGACACGTTCTGTTCGTATAACCGTCCGCTGCTTCAAGGTCATACCGAGCAAGCCGCTTATCCGTTAGAATCCACCTATCACCCCTCCTAAGCTGTTCAACCTGTGGTTTGTCAATCCAAGCCCGCGAGCCCCATAACACTACTATAGCATAGCGGCCATTTACAATAGCCAGGCTGTTTTCGTAAGATTTGAGGCAGAGACACGTCAGAGCAGTCAGTATTTGGGGGTCTAAACACTACCACAGGTCATGAAGAGGTATTCAAGGGATCAACTCAAGCCGACGACGCATGAGGTGAAACGTATCAGTAGTTCAGCTTGAGTGGGACAAACGCTGCCATTCCACCAATGGCAACAAGCAACAGCCTGTTGAACCAAGCTCTCAAGTCGAGCCTGGCCCTGGGGCTAGGGGAATAGAACAACTCCCAGAACCCTATCCAGCAGGTATCCATCGCTCATGCCCCTACAGTGTAAAATCAATACTGATCCTGGACGGCTCATTAAGTATATGCATTCATTCGGTACGACCCTGTAGTGTAGCTGCCCCCTAATACACCACCACCAATATTCGTTGGGTTACAGCACGCTGTCCCAGCGTAGATCACCGCCTGTTTGAAGGGTCAAGGTCACCCTCGCACACCTATCACCCACACATGGACACGCAAACCCGTTAACAACATGTATAGTCACCATTATAAACAATCTGAATATTTCTCGCAAAATCTGCACTTTCAACAGCATTTGGGGCAATCTTCCCGAATGCTGCACTAATGTACATGATTGCCTCTTTTACTACATTCCACTGTATTAAACAACAAATTAAAAATGTTAAGCTTGGTTAATGCGAAGTAGAATCCCGCCGGAAAAAAAGTGGAAACCATTGTATTTAGAAAAAAATGACTTAAATAACAACCATTAATACCTAAATAAGAACGCTATTTACTAAGCCTAAGAAACGACTAAATATCACGCTCCGATTCAGCGATTTTTATTATTGAAGATTAACGATATGGCCTCCGTTATCAAACTGCGTAACTTTGACTATTCCATAAACTCACCAAAGCTTGAGACTGACTTTTGTGTTCATTGGAAGGGAGGGAGAGAGGATACGAACTAGAGGAACGGTCGCCAATGCAACTGTTCTATCAACAGGATATATGCGAAAGCTGTAATAAGGGAAGGGAAGGGAAGGGAAGGGAAGGGAAGGGAAGGGAAGGGAAGGGAAGGGAAGGGAAGGGAAGGGAAGGAAGTATCAGGAGAAAGCGCCAAGCCATTACGACTATATAGCCCTTGGAAGGGGGTCAGGATAAGGATTTGGGATGGGACGAGGGGAAGGAATGGTGCCTAACCACTTGAACGGTCGGGGACCGAACGCCGACCTGCAAGAAGCGAGACCGTCGCTCTACCGTCCAGCCCAAGTGGTTGAGATAAGAACAGGAAAGTGTGCCGTGTTTCCCGTTGCCTGTGAGCGAGGCGAGAGGCTCGTAGGAGGGCGGGTAAAAACAATGGGTCCACGTCATGCCATTTGGGAAACTGACAAAGCATTGTAAGTTCAATAGAAAGGAAAGTGCGATCGTCAGTACAAGAGATGAAAACATTACATTCAAGTGAAAATGTGAACAATATATTAAAACGAGTCACTTTAGATGCCATGGTACTGACGACAGAGGAGTTATTTTACAATTTACGCAATTTTATTAACGTAACGTTAACGTATTAACGTTACGTTATTTTATTAACGTGACAACAGAGGAGTTATTTTCCATTTACGACGGAGAGGAGGCGCAGTTCAACCGGGGGGCGAAACTGAACAATGTATTTAACAGATGCTGTAGTTATTTGTGGCTCCGTCACCGAATTATAGGCCATTGTTAATGATATACAACATACCTGAGGCCATGCAGGAATAATCAGAAATAGCATAATGGAAAATATGGCGGCATAACTTCATTAAGGGGGTAGAGCAACATGGATTTAA